TTGTGTTCAGTTGCTTTTTCATTTGATTTTTAGTATCTGTGAAGTAAATAATCTTATTTTCTTTTTAACCAGGAATATGTTTCAGAAGCACTGGGACATTTCTTCCAAGCTATCTCCTACACGTCCAGACTCCTCCTGCACTGTCAGACAGCATCAGAAGTCTTGGGCTGAGGCCTGCACATACACTTTGAAAAGCTCACCAGGTGTTCATTAAAGGCATCCCTGGTTCAGAACAACAATTATAGGTCATTCTTTTTAGGAAAGTAACCATTACACACAGTTGCACACATAGACCAACAGAATCGTACCCTATCCCCTACGGTATTTTCTAAATCTTCCCGTTTGCCACTCACTTCTTTCCTCCGAATTTCTGCCTCTAATCGTCATGGATCTTTGCATAATCAGGTAATTTTCCTAGACAGGTTGTACGCTAAGTCAGTGCATATCAGGCACTCTTCACTCGTGGAGACAAGGTTGCAACAATGACCAGCGACTCCTTCCAAAACTACTGGCATTTTAATATACTGTCATTTAACAAATATGTATTCAGTTGATTATGATTGTTGTGGCAAATGTTGAGAAGAAAATAAGAAGAAAAAGATCCAGTCCTTGTACTCTTCAAGGAACACCTATGCTATAACTGGGGTGCAAGCAGACAGCCACGATAAAAACAGTTATCATATATGGAAGCGTGGGATTCAGTATTAATAATGAACCTGGCAGTAAGTGCTCTAAGGATTCAGGGGGATGTGTACTTGATACAGACACAACAGTCAGGCCTCTCATCAGAGGAACAGATGGGGGACAGACGGGAGAGGTGGAGGAAGTGGGTATAGTTGGTCAGAAACATGCCAACCAATGCAGGAGAGATCAGGCAAGCAGCATGAAAACAGGACTTTATGAAAGGAAGAGGTAATGCGGCTGACTGACATCAGAATGGTGAAGGTCGGACTCTGGTTTAATCAGACGAAGGAGCCCAATACTTACTCTACAGTTGAAAATTGTTCAAAGTTTTAAAGCAGCAGAATATGGGGATAGAAGTATTTTAGGAAAACATTTTGGTGTGAAGGTAGGGTTCACTGCAAATAAAAATTCTATGAACATGAGATAAATAATGAGAACTATGAGAGTAATTAGGATCTGGACCACAAAGGTGGATTCACAAAGAATTAATGGAACTCACCATTGACTGGCTTGGCTTTTAGCCTGTAACTACTGGAGGCCTACAAACAATAGCAGTAAAAAGGAGTTTAGGAATGGAAGCAAATCAGTTGCCAGCTGCAGGTAGCAGAACAATGCTTTAGAAGAAATAACTGTACACATAAATCCATACATATAGCTTTAGAAGAAGCTGATGAGAGGAAATACATTCTACACAGAGAATGGAGGGTAGGGAAAGGAAAATGAGACATTGAATGCTGAATATGGAGAAGTAGCACACTGAAGGGCACAAGTAAAATGCAGAATTAATGGTGCAAATAGCAGAGCCTGAAAAGACAGGAGAACTAACTGGCAATCAAGAAGCCAAGGAGAAATGTGTTCCAAAACAAGAGTTGATTACACTACCTCGTGCAACAGAAAGGTTGAAGGCCATCAGTACTGACCCATTTCTAATACAGGCAACTCCCCCATGTGCCCTAACCCACAGTTCATCTTTTTTCTTTAATCTTTGGTTACTGACTATCCATACCAATCATTTAACACACCTATCTGGTTATTTTAATAGCTATCACTGATCCATACATACTCAGACAAAAGGGCCCTACAAAAAGCTTGTGGAAAAATATAAGTAAAAGCTAGGTTTATTTGGGTACAATAAAATGTTTATTATCTTTTTATAGTTTATCATATGCCTTTTCCATGGATTTTTGAAGATGTCTCATACCTTATCGCATTGACAGTAATACTGTAAGTTTCCTGAGGGAAGAGATCATCATGATACTTTGTTTTGTCTCCTCCCCACCCTTGTGCCTCCACTTTGCCATGCCTCCATCAATTCTTGAGAAATATTATTAATCCACTATGGCTTTGACTGTCTTACTTATTGTGAAACACAGTTAAGACCAGTTGAGTTCAGGGGGTCCAATGTTGGTCCTTGCTACCCAAGTATGGTCCATGGACCAGCAGTATCAGCGTCATCTGGGAATTTGCTAAAAATGAAGAATCTCAACTTCCATCCAGAACAAGTGAAGCAGAACCTGCATTTCAACAAGCCCCCCGGGTGACTGATGCCATTCATACTGGCATTTAAGATAAATTGGTGTGAACTCAGTATATTATAGAAGAGGTTGGCCGGCGCCGCGGCTCACTAGGCTAATCCTCCTCCTAGCAGCGCCGGCATACCGGGTTCTAGTCCCGGTCGGGGCCCTGGATTCTGTCCTGGTTGCCCCTCTTCCAGGCCAGCTCTCTGCTGTGGCCAGGGAGTGCAGTGGAGGATGGCCCAGGTGCTTGGGCCCTGCACCCCATGGGAGACCAGGAAAAGCACCTGGCTCCTGGCTCCTACCATCGGATCAGCGCGGTGCGCTGGCCGCAGCGCGCTGGCCGCGGTGGCCATTGGAGGGTGAACCAACGGCAAAGGAAGACCTTTCTCTCTGTCTCTCTCTCTCACTGTCCACTCTGCCTGTCGAGGAAAAAAAAAAAAAAAAAAAAGAAGAGGTTAACACTGGGGCCGGTGCTGTGGCACAGCAGGTTAAAGCCCTGACCTGAAGCACCAGCATCCCATATAGGTGCCAATTCTAGTCTCGGCTGCTCCTCTTCTGATCTAGCTCTCTGCTATGGCCTGGGAAAGCAGTGGAAGATGACCCAAGTCCTTGGGCCCCTGCACCCCCGTGGGAGACCCGGAAAAGTTCCTGGCTCCTGGGTTTGGATCAGCGCAGCTCTGGCCATTGCAGCCAATTGGGGAGTGAACCAGCAGATGGAAAACCTCTCTCTCTCTGTGTCTCTACCTCTCTCTGTAACACTGTCTTTCAAATAAATAAAATAAATCTTAAAAAAAAAAAAAGCTAGCTTCACTGAAGCTAGCTGGAAGAGGAGAACATGAGTTTGAGTACATGGGCATGTGCCCTCTGGTCCTCGCTCAGTTCCATGGCTCAGTGATGGAGCCCAGGCCCTTTGCACATGTGTCAGGAGCAGACCAGGAAGCTGTTCTGGCTTTTGGTCAGAAACCCTTACATCCTTCTTTCATGAACTGCCACTATATTTGACCATAGGAAGGGCTTGCAGATTGTATCTATAAGATTCCCTCAGTAAATTGTATACTTATTCTTACCTTCCGGAGACCCTATTTACGTTCACCATTTTACCTAGGACCTAAGAATTCTTGATGTTTTTCTGTCTCCCATTCATTTCTTCTATAACATTAGGATTCCCTCTAAGTCGTAGACTGCAATTGCTAAAATAATTTTTTTTTGGCATAATTGAAAGTTAAACCTGAAAATGCAACTTTAACTCCAAATAGAAAGCCTGCAACTTAGGGGGCTACACTGACAGAATCATTGCTTAAATGACCATGTGTTGAAAAGCTCCCTAAAGAAAGAACTGTTAGACAAAGGAACAACCACATCCCAAAAGATGAAGAGTATATGGGAAAATGACTCTCAAGGTAGAATCTTCCCTTTGTTGGGGATGTGCTGAAAGCGACAAGGTTTCTTCTTCTGATTTTCCTACACATCAGTGAATTGGGAATCACTACCTCAAAATATCATTGTGCTAGAAGAGTTCTCTCCAGGTCTTTTATTATGTTTAGCAACTTTACTGACACATAATTTATACACCACAAAGTTCACATTTTTTTTTTTTTTTTTTTTTTTTTTTTTTTTTTTTTTTACAGGCAGAGTGGACAGTGAGAGAGAGAGAGAGACAGAGAGAAAGGTCTTCCTTTGCCGTTGGTTCACCCTCCAATGGCTGCCCGGGCCGGCGCGCTGTGGCCGGCGCACCGCACTGATCCGATGGCAGGAGCCAGGAGCCAGGTGCTTTTCCTGGTCTCCCATGGGGTGCAGGGCCCAAGCACCTGGGCCATCCTCCACTGCACTCCCTGGCCACAGCAGAGAGCTGGCCTGGAAGAGGGGCAACTGGGACAGAATCCGGCGCCCCGACCGGGACTAGAACCCGGTGTGCCGGCGCCGCTAGGCGGAGGATTAGCCTAGTGAGCCGCGGCGCCGGCACACAAAGTTCACATTTCAGAGACTTTCATTCCATCCCTTAAGCCATGTTTCATTAAACTCACTCGGGCCGGCGCCGTGGCTCACTAGGCTAATCCTCCACCTTGCGGCGCCGGCACACCGGGTTCTAGTCCCGGTTGCCCCTCTTCCAGGCCAGCTCTCTGCTATGGCCAGGGAGTGCAGTGGAGGATGGCCCAGGTGCTTGGGCCCTGCACCCCATGGGAGACCAGGAAAAGCACCTGGATCCTGGCTCCTGCCATCGGATCAGCGCGGTGCGCCGGCTTCAGCGGCGGCCATTGGAGGGTGAACCAACGGCAAAGGAAGACCTTTCTCTCTCTCTCACTGTCCACTCTGCCTGTCAAAAAAAAAAAAAAAAAAAAAACAAACAAACAAAAAAAAAAAAACTCACTCAGGAATTAAGAGAGAAAGTTCTTCTCTAGGAACAGAGAACACTGTCATAATCTTCTAATAATATATGCTAGTATCTCAGTTTGTATCGGTGGAAAGAATGTATTGCCTAAGTTTCTTCTATTAAAATTTAAACTACAGACATCTATAAAAGTAGGTATTTATTGCTGCATTTCAAAGATGTCTGGTTGAAACTCTCAGGGTAGACCCTTGCAACCTTTGTTTACTTGGTAGAAACTCCCTTAGGAAGTGAATTTCATTTACTGAATCCAAAATGGAAATCACAAATTCTTGTAGACTACTGTTCCCCCAACTATTTTCCCGCCAGATGGCATGCTTTTAAGGGCTGCTGGAGCTTGCACAGAGCTGTTATTTTTCACCGCTGGAGTGGCAAGAGTACTTAGGTTTACTTTCAAAAAGACAGCAACTTACATGCTCTCACAGAACCTCGTCAGAGTGCTTGGTTTCTCCTGGTTGCGTCTTTGTCGAAACCAGCGCTGAATGCTTCTCACATCCCAGTCCAGTTGCTTGGAGAGGCCTTCCAATCTCTTTTCATCAGGATGCTATGAAACAGGCACCAGGAAAATCATTTTCAGTGAACCTCTGCTGTCACCACGAACAGATCTTCCCTCGTTTGAGATTTTTCTCCTATGTTCACTATCTGCTACCGAGATTTCTGTATTTACCACTAAGGAACTAGTCCTTCCGAGAGTACCAAGAACACAAATAACCTCAAGGCTACTCATGAAAGGGCTTGGATGCTCTAATGCTTGCACTCCTTATTAGCAATGTGCTTCCTAAGGGGCAACAGGGATTGCATGGCACAGCCCGGCTTGCTCAGTCAGACCCATTGGCTTTCCAGGGAAGGGAGCCCAGCGAAGGTGAACTACAAAGAGAAGTGCAAATATTTCACTCCCAGGAAAAAAAATGCTAAGCTCCTTTATTACACATAATGTGGGATAGGAAAAAAGCATGGAAAAAAATCCCGAAATGCCTCACTTTCTTTTTTTTTTTTTTAAATTAAGCCTAAGGTACAATTGCTGCCAATAAATTATGTTTTCTCACCTTTCCCCTTCTCTCCTCCTCTCGTCAGTTCTTTACACATTTCTCTTCTATTGTTTTCCTGGTCATTCATTTAACCAAATAGCACACCAAGTCTTTCACAAATACTATGTATGCACTAACTGAAGAAGCAAACTTGTTGAAGAGGAAAAAGATGGCCTTGAGATGACAGACTGGGAGTCTACTTTGTCACTTCCCAGACCTCCCTGAGTCTCAATTCCTTCATCTTTAAAAAAAAAATAAGGTGCTGTTTATTAACCAAATGGGATTATGGTAAGAACCAAATGTGAAATGTATGTAAACTCGGTGGATGGGAGTTTTCCTTGTTGCTCTCTCTCCCTTCTCTTCCACAAGTTGAGAGCATTCTGCCAACAACCACAGGAAGTCACCCACTACACAACCGAACTAAGCCAAGTGAGCTTCATTCTTTTATTTATTCTATTTCTGCTTCGATATTCGTAAGATGTTAACGATCAGGGAGACTGACCAAAAAGGAAGTAGAGAGAAGGCAGGCTCCCCAGCCTTCAAACTATGAGGGCAGAATAAACCACGGCTCCTTTCCAAAAGCTTCTCACAGGGTTTGCGCCCCGTCAAACTGAATGTGCCCCTCCCCATCAAATTCTTCGGTTGAAATCCTAATCCCCAGTGTGGTCAAATTAGGAAAGGGGCCTTTGGGAGAGGACTGGGCCTTGAGAGTAGAGTGCTGGTGATGAGATCAATGCCCTATGTGAAGATACTCCAGAGGGCGTGCGTCATCCCCGCCACAGGAGGAAGAGGGCCTTCACCAAGGACGCAACCATGCTGGCACTCTCATCTCAGACTCCCGGCCTCCCAGCCTGTGAGACACAAACGTCTGGTGTTCAAGACATGCCGTCTGTGCTGATCTGTTTCCTCAGCACACCCTGATTACGACAGTCAGACACCCAGAAAACACCACAAATGGCCCTCGGGTACACAATGTGCTGACCGTATGCCTGTAAATGTTATCTGCCAAATTTCAACTGGGTGTGTACGCTGAGGACGTCCCTCTTCATCACATGGAAGAGAGAAAATTCATTGCCTACAGTACACCTTTGCTCTCCAGGGTAATTCATTGTTTACTTCAATTTATCTCCAAAATTTATTCATGGAGAAAACATTCACGTGGAGCACAAGTTAAAAATTATCCAAAGTTTCACCTGAAACCTTGTTCCCACTCCTAGTTCCTATTCTTCCCTTCCTAGCAGATACTCAGTGACTAGATTAGTTTCTCTCCAAAGTTATTTTATGCAAATATAAGCAAATATGAATACATATTTCTTTTTCTTTAAAGATTTATTCATCAGGGCTGGCGGAGTGGCATAGTAGTTAAGCGTCCGCCTGCAGCATAGGCATCACATATGGGTGCCAGTTTGAGTTCTGGCTGCTCCACTTCCAATCCAACTCACTGCTAATGGCCTGGGAAAGCAGTGAAAGGTGGCCCAGCTGCATGGGCCCCTGCATCCACATGGGAGATCCAGAGAAAGCTCCTGGCTCCTGGCTTTGGTTCAGCCCAGCTCCAGCTGTTTCGGCTATCTGGGAAGTGAACCAGTGAATGGAAGACCTCTGTCTATCCCTCTTTGAGAGGCAGAGTTACAGACAGAGAGAGAAGTCTTTCATCCACTGGTTCATTCCCCAAATGGACAAGGTTGGGCCAGGCTGCAGTGGGGTTTCCCACGTGGGTGCAGGGTCTCAAGCACTTGGCCATTTTCCACTGCTTTACCAGGCACATTAGCAGGAAGCTGGATCAGAAGTAGAGCACCCAGGACATGAACTGGCATCCAAATGGGATGCCTGTGTTGCAGGTAGTGGCTTAACCTGCTATATCACAATGCCAACCCCAAATATGTATTTTTATATCTATCTTCATCACACAAGATACTTTGTACCAAAGACAGTATTCATGAATTTGAGTTTTTCACTTTGCAATGTATTCTGGAATATTTACAGATCAGTATGTAGAAAAGACCCACATACTTTTCTAGAGCTGCAGGGATATGGCATAATTTACTTATCTATGACCTATTAATGGACATTTAGATAGCTTTTGAACTTCCACTGCTATAAACAACCTAAGTGGTTAACAACGATGGGACATTTTGTGCAGATTTATCTGTGGCATAAGTTCTTAGAATTGAAAGTTACAGATCAAAAGGCTCTAAGTATTTATAATTTATTTTAATTTGAAATTTTTGAGTGATTTCGCCAATTAATACTTTCACAAGCAAGTCCTTTTCTTCATTTATTGAGTTAATTAAAACTTTGCACTGTAAGTTGCATACTTTTTACCAGTATGTCATCTGTGCTTTAAAATTTGCTTACGGTATTTTTTGCTTGTTTGATATATACTTACAAAGTTTTTAAAAATACATATTAAATTTATCAGTTTTTTCTGTTATAGCTTCTAATTGTAGAATTAGTAAAGCCTTCCTTCCTTCAAATGTTCAGAAAATTATCCTAGTTTCCCTTCTAATACATTTAGGTTTATGTTTTTTTACATTTATTTTCATTTTTATTTATCTGAAAGGCAGAGAAACAGAAGAGAGACAGATAGACAAAATCAGAGATATTCCATCTGCAGGATCATTCCCCATATACCAGCAATGGCCAGGACTGGTCCAGAGCTGCAGTCAGGAACAAGAAACAATCCAGGTCTCCCACAGCCGTGGCCCGGACCCAACGACTTGAGCCAATATCTGTTGCTTCCCTGGGTGTGTATTAGCAGGAAGGTAGAACTGGCAGCAGGAGTCAGAAATGGAACCCAGACGCTCCAACAGGCTCTTAACTGGCACCTGAGCCCCTGGGCCAAATGCCCACTCCTGGGGCTTTCATTTTTACAGCAAATCTTTTTTTTTTTTTTTTTTTTTTTTTTTTGACAGGCAGGAGTGGACAGTGAGAGAGAGAGAGAAAGGTCTTCCTTTGCCGTTGGTTCACCCTCCAATGGCCACCGTGGCCAGCGCGCTGCAACCAGCGCACCGCGCCGATCCAATGGCAGGAGCCAGGTACTTATCCTGGTCTCCCATGGGGTGCAGGGCCCAAGTACTTGGGCCATCCTCCACTGCACTCCCTGGCCACAGCAGAGAGCTGGCCTGGAAGAGGGGCAACCGGGACAGAATCCAGCGCCCCGACCGGGACTAGAACCCGGTGTGCCGGCGCCGCAAGGTGAAGGATTAGCCTAGTGAGCCGCGGTGCCGGCCACAGCAAATCTTTAGTATACCTACAAAATAGACTGCCACTGAGTGTAAAGTATGACTAATTTTCTTTCTTAGCAGGCAGAGGCTACCCAATATCCCATCCCATTGCTCAGCCTTTTCCCACTGAAAATCTAAATCTGCTTTTCTACTGGAGTATTAGTCAGGTGCCAATACTCTACAGTTTGCGTCTCAGGAGACTTCTCCTACATGAACTTTAAAATTAATTTATCTATTTTCAAAATAACCAAATGGCCAACCAGGCAAGATCGCTGGTTTTTCTTAAATAAGATCACACTGAGTTTGAAAATTAATGTAGGGTAAATAAATATCTTTATTCAATTTGTTCTTTGTGTCCTTGAAGGGTGTTGGAAAATTTTCCCCATATAGGTTTGCATACAACTTTTATGTTGATTTCTAGGGATTTAATTAAATTTCTATTATATGTAAGGCACTTTTTTATATCTTTTAACTGATTATGGTTGGCATATATATGAAAGTCTTTCGTTTCTGACTACTAATTTTGTGCTAAAATTTCATATTATTTGTGGTAGCTATTCATTTGGTTCCTTTAATTTTCCAGGTGTACAATCATAAAATTACTGAAATGTAAGCTGCAAAAATAATGAAAATTCAGAGTGTCTTCTCATTGGTGCCTAAATTAGAGTAGTACTCAAACAGTTCTTGAATGAACAAATTTTCAAATAGCCATCATTTTCCCAACTCTTCTCTAATTTTTGTTACCTTTCCTCCTTCCTCTTGTGTACTTGCTAACTGAACATAGAATTTAGCACAGTGGTGAACAGCAGTAATAACAGTCTTTGGTCTGGACTTTATTGGGAACACCTTTAATTTTCTTATTAAGCAAGGGGCCAGACTTGGGACTGAGAAACAAATACGTTTAACATGTAATGGAAACCACATATCCCTACTCAAATAATCCTCTTTAATTAAAAAGATGCTAGGTTTCAGCATCCATGAAATATGTACTTTTTCCATTAACTTGTCAGTAACATGATGAATTATATAGTAGATTTTTAAATATGGAATACAGAGCAGGCCCTATATCCACATGCCTAGAATAAACTTTATTTTGTGATGAAAAATAATTCTTTTCATTGGTTGCCATCATTCATCTTTCTCCCCATTGAAAAACTAGATACTACTTGCTAATTTCTTATTTAAGGATTTTTCATCAATATTAATCAGTAAATTGATCTCCAGTCTGATTTTTCAGTGAAATCTGTTATGCTTGATATTAATGTTTTATTGCTATATTAAGAGAGAACTGG